ATGAATGGTTAAGAAGAACAAAGCATAAATATGTATACGTATATATACACATATATATTCAGTATTGACAATAATAAAGAACAAGGTGAAATTTGTTTTTTTTTTTCTTACAGTACAATGTATTGTAAAAGAAATGGTTGATATCGAAGACTAAAGTAAATGACAATAATCTCATTAAAAAACCATTGACGATCTATTTGATTAAAATTTGAAGTTTTCAATCATCGAACCTATTTAGAATCGTCCATTATTGGTATCCTACTATTTTCATAATAAATTGAATCGATCATGGCATTTGAAAATTGTATTAGAACTATATTGGCAATAATAATGAATCAAACACTCTTATAGATTGTTAATAAAAAGAGATTAATTCTCAGCAAAGTCAAATTACATATTGGAATCAAGTCATAAATATATGCCAATATTTTAAAACTAAATTTAACGGTCTTGTGGTGTTTCATAAAGAAGCACTTTTTTGTGCTTAGTTGTATTACTATCAAATGTCGATTTGTAGATATGTAATCATACAAAACTATGATATGAACTAAACCGCCATTTGTTAAAAATCCAATTATTTATAAGGTTTATCGATTCTACTGTGTTATTTCATTTGTTGAACAAACAGGATTCAAACATATGTGATAAATCCACCGTTTTGAGTCATCTTTCTTACTGAAAAGAAGTTGACTAGTGTTCAACTACAGCTTATTCGATAGTAAAACTATTTATTTTCTAAACTTTAAACAAACTGATCTCAAGCACATGGTTTTCAAGATCTAATTTTGTTTCGTTTGTTTTTTAGCTATCATTTAAATATTTTCAATGAGAAAGTATTCAATTAGAATGAGACCTAATATGATATTCGAAATCAGCATAAATGACTGAGGAGAAAATCACTTTCAATATCCGCTTAATGCATACGACTAAAATTTTTAGAAGATTCATGTTTTGAGGAGATTTTATTTGAAACTCTATGGAAACTAATCGAAAAGAGAAAGTTAAGAATGTTTCGTTGTAAGTCGATTTATGTATAATAAAAAGATTTCCTTGAAATTCTTTGTATTCAAATATATACCCATGGTTTCCTTCAGGATGACATCAAAACTGGGAATTCCATCCAAAAGGCATTTGAACAGTATAAAGAAACTTCGAAAGTTGTTGAAATTGATTAGATTAAGAAATGTTCGATATATATATTTCAAGGAGATCCCTTTACTAGACGATAACCGACTTGCTCTTTTATACTGATTTCAAATATCATATTTAGTTTTCTTTCAGTCGAACATTTTCTACATCGTACTAGAAAATAATACCAAGTAAAGCGTTGAAAACAGATGATTTATTTATTACTTCAATACTGACTTATTTTTTTCAAGTATGAAAAATATAGTTTTATATTTCATGAAAAAATCTACTAAATAATTCATATTAAAATGATGAATAACTCCATCTTAACACGAAAGATGTTTGAAAAAGTACACAAGCATTCTCAAATGCGTCTGCATCATATTGTTAAATAAGTGAAATTGAAATAGGTAAGTCGTATAAAAAATGACAACTTCAATAAAGATCTAACAATAAGACATTGTACCATTATTTGTCTAAACTCCTAAAACTCGTCATCTATTATCAATATGACTAACGATCAAAAGCACTTTTTTTTTACGAATTATCATGAAACTACTAAATTTAATAGTGAATCGTTAAATTTAATTTTAAAACATTGACGTATATTTATGATTTCATCCTGAATATAATTTGACTCAACTATGAATAAAAATCATAGTGAGCCGATTTAAGTTCTTATGCGTCTCCGTCCCTTTCTTGATATTCAATTATTCATCTTTTTCTTCTTGTTTCATATGACGTCATGAGAAAGCAAAAACAAAAAAAAAAGAAACTTTTTCGTTCTATTGCTTTTAGTATCATATCGATGAATAATGACAATACAGCTGGTTAAGGAAGTAATACATTATGTTTCTTTGGATATTTTTTCTTTCTTTTGCTATAGCCATCACCATCATCGTTATATTTGCCTCCTTTTCTTTCCGATGAAAGTAAAAACAACACAGTAGGAAAAGAAAAGACATATGAGCAGTCATGAATCTTTTTCTTATATATCACAATGTTGTAGTCCATTGCTTAGTATCAATTTTACTTATGAACATAAAATTAGAAGTAAAAGTACGTGGATTATTTACTGATTTTGCAGTAAACATACCAGTTATTATTGATACAGAACCGACGTCAGATGAATAACAATTAATAAATATTTCTATTGAAACGGTTATACCAAATGCTTTTGTGTATGATTATGATGAACCACCATCAGCCTATGAATCAGTGGTTACAAATTTGAAAGAATAAATATTCAATATTATTTTCTTTTTATTAATTTTGTTTTTGAAAGTTATTGTATTTGTTTTGATGAAAAGAGTTTGTAAACAAAACCTATGCAGTAATAATGAAATGTATTTAATTTGAAATATTCGTTACATTTATCATTATTGCATGAAATTTTAAGAGATACTCTTCAAATTGATCATGTTATTTTAATTTTTTAGTTTATGAACGTGTTAAAGAAATATTCTTGTTCAACAAATCATATATTAGCAGACTTGTAAATTTTTTGGTGTCAACAATTCGACTTGATGACCAAATTTAAGAATTATTTTTGCTAACTCAGAGTGTTTATATAGTTTTTTAATTCAAGGTCACTTATTAGTGTGATTGTTTCATTTAAATTTTCTCTCTAAATCTACATTTTAATCTAATTTAAAAAAAAATCATAATAATTCAAGCCTTACAAAATACAATCGAAACAGTGCTTTATTATTACTTTCGGGAAGACATTGATTTTTTTTCCAGTTCTCTAAACTAATATGTCGCCATGACACTGTATCAACATGTGTGTTCTTTTGTTTATAGACGTTAGTAATGATACAATCAATGTTAATTATTTAAATACTTGTTGTTAGTTGAAGGATTCTATGAAAATGACAGATTGAATATTGAAACCATTCAAAATATATTGTAAACATTTATAATTAGATAATACGAAAACAATAATCTAACAATTATTCTGAACATGATGTTTTGATTTATTATATGAACATACATATTATAGTTATTCATAGAAAATATGGATTAATGATATTTATGGAAATAGCTTATCTTTTTGATGACAACCCTGCAATTCAGAATGTCTGTTGATTTATTTTTTAAAACATTGACATTATTCTTATTATTTAATCATCATTATTTCACATTTGTCCTTTTTTTGATACACAAAATATATAAAAACAGAATCAACAACATGTGATATGTGTCTTACTTATAGGTACATTATTTTTCAACTGACATTTAATTACATATGACTTGGAGAAAAATTTATTTAATTTTAAACTTTCATATATGACTATGTTAGTCTTATAGGCATATTGTATATTCAGTTAAATTGATATTCATAAAAACAGTATGCAAGCAAAAATACTAACATTCATATTTTCGAATGTTTACGAACAGGCAATAAGTAATGTTGTTTTTTTTTAAATATATAAAGTCAATTATTACTGAATAAAGTTTCTCTTCGCATTCTATTGCTAAATAGTGTTCTATTGGAAAAGAAAAACATCTCGTTTTTAATGCAAATATTAATAGTAATATATATTCTCGTACAAAAATATCATTTACTAATATTCATTATTCTATGAGAAAGGTCAATGTTGAATATTAATGAAATATATATAAAATCTTGCCTTCTAATTTTACATTCAAGTAATTCAATACTCTTAATCATTTTAATTGTTTCTTTTTTTTGCAGTATCCTATATATAAACCAATTTAATTCATTAAAATAATTTCAATTGAAAGTTAATTTTTATTTAAAAAAATTCTTTCTTTTTTTTTGATGAAAATTTCTTTTTAAAATTAATCTTCAAAAAATGAAAAAACAAACAGTAAAATCGATTATTGTGAAATAACATTTATTCAACATTGTTATATCGACTCAAATCCATATAATCTTATGTACAGGCGATGATAAGTTCTAATTGCAAACATCAATTCACCCTCCTTTGTTTTTGCATGCACTTGATTTATGATTTCTGTGAAAAATACATGTAGTAGACATAAACTTTCAGAGTAGACTTTCTGTATCATGAAGTTTTCTATTAAAATTTTTAAATCTACTGAATGAAGTCATAATAGAAAAAAATCTATGTTACTAAAAACATTTATTTGTTCTGCAACCAAAACATTTAATGAAAAGATAATGTTTTGTGCTTGTTCGAAGTGATTTCTAACAAAAATCAAACTATAGATAGTTACAATAGCAGTCTTTGAAATTAACACTCCAGCACATGGAAACTAACGTAAGGCAGATTTTTACATTTGTATCTACAATATTATTTTTGTATCAGAAAGAATTTACGAAAAAGTTATATTCTTGATTTCTAGGAAGTTTTTTGACTATGTTGGTTTTTTCATTGAAAATTGTCAAAGGATCACAACAAACAACTATTTACCTTTCATTCCTTAATTAAAAACGTCACCAGATTGGTGTAATCAAAAGACAAATCTCATTTCGGGTGTCTGACCCTTGTAAAATGTTGCATTTCGTAAATGTACTTTTTTTTCATTTCATATACTGGTTTTTTTTTTAGTCGAGACAGTGATTTGTCATATCAAATCATTATAATTACTTTTATATACAATGTAATAATATTATGTACTTTTTTTCATGACACAGACAGTGACTCAAGAAATATAAAATACACAAATTCGTTCTAAAGCTGTTTATCAGTTGTTTTTTTACCTGTGTGACATGTCATCTAGGTTTTTACGAGAAGAATAGAAGCACACATTTTTTTTCTTCTATGCGATTTCTCTTGCGTTCTATATTTTTACATACAATATAAATAGACGACTACATTTTTATTGTCGATACTAACAGTAGGATATCGATCATAAATAATCATTCAAACAAAAAAAAAATAATGGGAATAGGGAAAAGTACAATAGACAATGTAACATTCAATCATTCTGATGCGTTTTATTATGCTGGTGAAAACGTAACTGGAACTATTTCATTTCATAATGCTGAGAAAAAATTAACTTTAACTAATGTTTCACTTGGATTTATTGGTGAAATCGGTTATACAGGACACAAAACACATCAATCTTGTGATAGTATGGGTAATGTACATACAGAAAATCGTGTAGGTGAACATCAACTACCATTTATACATACTCATATTCAATTTACTCATTCGAAAGATAATGAGGTAAGAATTTGAATAAAAATGAAATAAAGAAGCAGACCTCTACGTAATTTTTATTATATTTGTAGAATAAAATAACTCTTGAACATGGTCAACACTCATGGCCATTTGAATTTACTCTTTCTGATGATTTACCACCATCATCAGGCTCATTAACAAGTTCATTTCCTTATATAAAGTATTATATGCGTATTAGTGTTACTCAACTATGGCATAAATTTAAAAAAACTCAAACTTTTCCATTGATAATTTTTCCACGTATTAATATCCTTCATTTCAATAGAGATAAACAAGCTATTGCTGTGTATAATCGAAATCATTTACATGTTAGAGCACGTGTAGATTGCCAAAGCATTTTACCTGATGAAAGCATTTCTCTTGATATTAATCTGAACAATGAAAACCGATTAACAATAAAGGGAATTGAAGCAATATTAATTCAGAAACAAAAAATTGATCGCAACCATCATTCTCAAGTTATTTTTAAAGAAGACTTACCTATTTCAGAAAATTTTACGGAAACACAATTTCATGAAATTTTTGATTTACAAAAACCTTCTACTCAACTACCACCTACATATGATTATACAGCATCCTGTTCTGATTTATCAATTCATACTAGTATTACTTATGAACTAAACATAAAAGTAAAAGTTCATGAATGGCATAATCAAATAGATTTAATCATTCCAATTGTTATCGGAACAGAATCGACATTGGAACGAACTCTATCGAGTCAAGTTAGTTATGGTAGAATATCAATAAATTCTGCAAGACTTGCGAGAGAAATCAGTACACCATTTATATTTCAATCAAGAGATGAAAATATGCAAATTCAAGAAGTCAAACTGTAATCATTCGATGTACTGTTTTTTTTTGCCTATTTGATTTTAGCTTGTATTTGTTTTCAATTAAAACTAAAACGCATCATACACGTTTCTTTCTATACTACGATAAAACAATTTTTTTTTTTATTCGACCTTTTTCTGTAATACTAATCATATTAATCGTAATAAAATTCGTTTCGTGAATTAATTAACATAAATATTAAAATGGCAATATTTACATGCAATGAAAAATAAACTCAATCTGAGCAGTTTTTTTTTTGTTAGAGCCAGCCACACATGAACGTTATATATATATATATATATATAGATGTTTCATAAGCCTTGAGACTTGACCAAATTAGTTTATATGTAAACAGAAAATAATCTTGAACGGAATGTATTTATATAAAGTTTAATTACGCATGTTGTTTTTGTTTCCAATGACATATTATAGGAGGAAGACACTTCTTTATAATAATATAAATACAAACATAAGAATGATATAAATTGTTTGGAAATCGATCAAGTTGATTTCTTTTAAAAGTTTTCTGATGGAGTGCTGAATATATTTCACAGAAAAAAAAATAGCAAATAAGTAGTCATCTTAATTGTTTTATTTGACACATATTAGAAACAACTAATGACAAATTTAAATCAAGTTCTATACTGAATAATCGGTTTCAAATGATCTATAATATAGATAAAACCAAAAATAAAGATTGTGTTATGAACTATATGATAAATTATTTAATGTTTATATTTTACCTCAAGATGATGATGCTAAATTTATTAAGTTATAGACCATTGAATATACATAGGATATATTGAAGGAAAAAATACAGAATGAACAATTTTTATGTTTTAATATCTACTGATTAGTAGATTGAAGAAAGAATAGGAAAAGATAATTTGTGAAAATTGTAAATGAATGATTGAAAATATTCCTAAAAGATTTGGTGAAGTGGTAGAAAAGAAATGCATGATAGTTAAATTGCATTCTTATGTAATCCAATCAATATGTATATTTGAAAATTAGAGTGCTTTTCTTTTTTTTTTTGTTTTTCTTAATAAAATCTAGTATAGATCGATTTTGAAAAATTTGTCATATTATTCTCATGTTCATGCTTTTATTATTACAAGAGAAGATGTCATCCAATAACATGTCATTTGAAAGATCAATACGAATAATCAAACTTCGTATAAATAATTCAATTTGAAATTATTTTCTATTTGTATATAAACTAAATATTTCAAGCTGTAAGGCTTATTAAATAATTTGTGTATAAGGATATCTTCACATTATATCCTCAAAAGCTGATAGCACAAATGATAAATCAGATAGATGATTTTGATGAATGATGGAACGAAGAGACGAAGTAGAGCATTTAGTTCTTCAATCAGACCAATAACTAAGTTAACACGATCAATAGAATGTAATTTCTGATCTATTGTATATGTACATATCTCTGGTTGAACATTGAGCATAGTACAATGTATAATTTGCTATATAGATCCATTGATTAAGTAAAGTGATTGACAAGAGAGCTTCTAATACGTATTTAGGCTAAAAAAAGATGATATCGTTTGGATCAAGTGCTGTTATATTACTCAAATCAATTGGTAAATAGATATTTTCATAACCATAGAGACGCTGATCAATCAATATCTAAACACATGATTCATTGTAAAAACATTCTAGTGTGGAATGATCAAAATCTAAAAGTTGACACCCAAGATATAGACCAAGAATAATTTGATGTGGTGCGACATTCGTTTGTGTAAACGACGTGGAATAGCCATAGAAATCCAATGGTTTTAAACAATAATAAACTTGCCCACAAACTCTCTAATCGGCTCGAACAACACTATGTTTTTCCTTACAATAGTAGAGAAAGTCTTTTCTGATTCATTTTTACACCTACATTTCACATACGTTGAAATTTAACCCATTCGCAACGATTTGGTTTTCTTAGCAATAGCGTTAACAAATTCATTTTCATGTGCATTCACCTTCTGATAAATGTATTAGCTAGTCTTTTCGGTATGCGCTGCCAGTTCTTTTTCTTTTTCTTGTTTGTATCACTACACAGGCGATCTTCTTTCACATCAAATTGAATAATTGTTCTAGTTTGCTTTTCTCTGTCTTATATGTATTGGACAATAGGAACGAAATATTAATTACTCTCTGATCACAAGCTCGAAGAAAAGGAAGAAGCTGCGCGCATCATTCAAAGATACTATGCTGACTGCTATGAGGAAAAACAGAAAACAAAAATTAAGATAAGCGTGTCATGCAACAACAAAGACAATAAAAACTTTCTGTTCTGCTTGCAACAATTTTTTTCGTCTTGATTGTTTTAACGAAAAGCATCACACTATACAATAAATGATTTCAAAAATAGCGAAGACAGAGCTGATCACACATTACGCGTATAACCTTCCGCCTAAGAATAAAAGAGAGGAAACTGTTTTTCTATAAAGCTTCTTGTTAAAATATAGTGGGGTCCACCGGTGAACTCCATCGCCTCGAATGGGTTAAGTAACTTGCTCTAATTACTCTATGGGGACGTAATATTTTAAATTTGTTAGTTTGGTGGTGAGAGCTTTCTTTTGACCCGAATATGGTCAGTTTTCTTGATAACCAATACAAAAGGTTCCATTGTAAGGCGATCTTCACGGGTCCTTTAATGAAAAACCTTGATTTTCTATAGGTTCTCATCTCGACACTGTACGACCCCATCAAACTTTGAAAAAATACCGAAATGTTTTCTCACTTTTCGAACCCTATAAATCGGTAACGGTAGATTAGAAATGAAAATGACCGATTCTACCTCTAGAGAATATTTCAAAGTATATCAGTTTTGCTGAAATATCTTCGTTTGATGTAGATTTTAGAAATGATCTATTAGAAAATGAAAAAGAGCATAATGAATACTAGAAACGACAGAAAGATCATTTATCATTTTGTAGCAAAGATTCATTTAATGATATTATGGCAGTGATCATTTTCGATGATAGTCATATATGATGCACTAAGAAATGCAATAACACGTGGTTTAACTTTGACTCTTTATCAAATGAGCCGAAACCAATTGAATTTCGAAGTATATTCACCCGACAAAGGTTTGGATGGATCATTGTTTGGAATAATACCAAAACCTATATTGAACGATCAGAAATAAACGAATCAAATCGATTTGAAATATTGTTTTCTATAGAACAATAATTTCAATAAACATAATTAAATGCAAGAATTTTCATAAGTGACAGATTAATTTTTCTTGTTTGATGTACTTGGTTGAAATATTCTTAAAATTTCTAACATAACTAATAAAAATAAAAGAAAGATATGTTTTCACTTTAGTTTATATGAAAATCATCATACTTATTGATCGATAAGAACACAAAAAGAACAGAATTTCATTTCGCCTCTTTCGCCTGTGATTAGACATGCACCGATTAAAAACTGATATTTTTCTTAGAATTGATTTTTGTACATTAAATATTAATTCGAGACGCTACTTCCATAAGTGCAAAAAAATAGCAAAAAATTAGACCATTTACTATCTCCACTGCATTCTAAAGTTTATTTATGATTTATATTTATCAATCCATTAGAAAATATCTTGAATTTAATGAAGGAAAATGTTGACAGAGTCAATAGTGAGGTTTTTTTTGCTAGAATGTTTTTTCCTGAATGAGCTTTTATATAGGACATGGTCGCGATTATTGTGTGGTAGAAAATGCTTTGTTTGTTCTCTTATCCCGTTCATTTTCATTCTTGTTTTTTTGAAATATTGACTTTGTAAAACAACCAGAATTTGGATGCATAAAAAAAAACCATGATAGAAAAATTAGAGTTAAAAAATTAGCATTAGTTTATTTTTCTGTACTGGATTGAACAGTAAAAGAGAAAAACTCTTTTTTTTCTGAACTTTATCAGTTCTCCTCTCGTAATTTGACTATTCTATAACGTTACAAGCAAAATTAATATTTTATTCGAAATACTACAATTTTTAATTAGAATATTATTGTAAAAACTGAATTACTTTGATTCTGGACAATACATCAGGTAAGGTCAAATAACGAGCATTCTCTTATGTCGTGTTACTTGTTATTTCACTCACCGAAAGACGATATATCTATCACTTGAAAATATTCCAGGAAATGGCAAATGTTTGAAAAATTTGGATTTTTTTCTTGGATAGATTATCATTTTTAGGATAACTCCCATGTCAGATAATTTTCCAAATGTAGGCTCTTCAAAAAAAGTAAGGAACAAATTAGTTGCATTGACAGAAGTGAAACAAATCACAGACAGCACAAAGCAATTTGTCATTGAAAATTTTTCTCGACAAATCATGCCATATCAACGGTTTTGTCATTCTGTTTAATTTAAATCCAAAAAAATAAGAACATACAAAATTTTCATCAGAGAAATTTCTTCTTGCTCATCAAAAACATGTATTAGACATCGATTGCATTATATTTGTTCGATTCACTAACTCACTGATATTGAATGCTATCGTTGTCTGTGCCAGTATCCTAGTGAACGTCATAAGTTTTTCTACTCTAGGTCTTTGATAAATCATGTAAAGATCCTCAGAATAAAGTTGAATTTTCTTTAGTTTTTAGCTAAACATGACTCAAAATCAAAGAATCCATACCTAAGATTGTACATAGTCCGTAATACCATTGATTTTTAACTTGTTACAATGAATTTCGAAATTTTTCAGCTCTCTTTCACTCGAACGGAAAATTAATCGTTTTCTCATTGAAAAATAGTGAAAAATTATTTGAAATTCTATTGAAATTTTCACTCGATTTCCTATCGATATTCAGGACACATTTTACGGCGACAAATTTCTATTATGATTTAGTGTTTCCTCAAGAGAAAAGATAATCATTGCAAGAACTTTGTAATTTTTTATACTATAGAAGAATGTTTTTGTACTTTATTTCTTTTTCAATGATTAAAAATCCATTCGGTTTATAGTTTCGATCGGAGACAATAAATAAACGGCTTA